GAGACCACCGACTGGCCCCATTAAAGCCCCTTTTAATTTCGGGGGGGGGGGGTTCTGCCTTCGGTTGCAAAGGTTGGGGAGGCAGCCTGGGGGAAGGGTGGGGACGACCCTCTAGAAAGAAGGGGTGCGGAGAGCCTGGCCTTCCGTGGCGCCTACTCCCAGCTGGGACCCCCGAAGACTTCCATTCAGCAGTCCCTACCCTTCTTCCCTCCTTCCTAGCTCGGAGGGCGTCTCTCCTGTCTTAGCAGGCCCAGAGATTTGGGGGAGGGCGAGGAGTCGGGGCTCGGGGACTCAAGGGAAAGAGGAATCGGGTTGCAACCCGACCGCCTCTGAAGGTCACATTCCCCGCCTCGCGCACACACGCGCCAACCCAAGGACCTCCGGCAAGTCAACAGCGCTGGGACTCCGAAGTAGAAATCCCCGCGCCCGAGCACTCGGCGCTAAGGCTGGGTCGGCGGCTCCCGGCTGCCCTGCCTTTTGATTCCCGTCGCCCCCGTTCCCTGCGCCCTAATGAATACCGTGATTCCTCGCCTCCTTTGGCCTGAGCGAGAGCGAGGATGTGCTCCGGGGACGCGCGGGCGCCTGCTGCATACTAGCTTTCCCTATGAATTTTTGCCCTCCCTCTCGCTTCCAGCAGAAGGACGGGATCGCAAACCAAGCTCACAATCCCCCATCGCCCCGAGTTTACAAGTCACCCCGTGACGTCACAGCTCCCGAGCCAATGGCCTTCGTTTCATGCTAATGAGGGGGGGGATGGCGAGCAGAAGGTTTCCCCCCCCCCCTCCCTTGCACAACGATTCCTTTAGGAGACATATGTCCCTAATTAACAAATATCTAGGAACAAGCCCGCTCGCTATTGTCTTCCCCGGGGCAGGTTTGTTTACCTCTGCAGAGCAGGGAGCGTGCAGGGACCCCGAGTGACAACAAAGGCCGGGGGGACCCCAACCCTCCTCCCCTCCCCCCGCAGGCATCGGGCTGAGCAGCTCGCGGAAGACTTCGGAGGGGGCTCCGGGCACCAGCGCCGAGCTAAGAGCGGTTAGAGTTGAAGGTGGGAAATGCCTGTAGCATTCCCGCTTTCCTGCGGGGGGGGGGGGTGTGTGTCTGTCCCATCCCACAGGAATGCCTCCCCCCCCCTGCAACTGGCCAGGAAAAGCATGTGGCCAGGCAGGAGACCCCGGTTTGGTCAATGGAGGCTCATCCCTGAGGTTGAGCCACAGGTAAAGGCCTGTCTTCATAGTGACTGCCTTAAGAGCTCCGAACTGGCCCTTCGCCGTGGCTTGCTGAACAAAGCCCAGCTTTCCAAGTCCTCACAACGTTCAGAGTTCAAGCCAAACCAATGGTGGGTAAACAGGATGTAATTTTGTTTGGTGGGGAGAGAATTGCTGGATGCAGGATGTTATGGAGCTGCTCAGCTCCGCCTTGTCCAAGGCCCTCCTGGAAGGTGGAAGCGGGAGGGGAATGCAGAAGACGTCACACCTGCAAGGGTCCAGGAGGTGAGAGAGAGCCGGATTTTGAATCAAAAAATGATGGCCGTATTGGCAGCAAAGATTTCTAAATTTAATGGATGGATGGGCAGAGACAGACAGATGATGGATAGATGATATAGGCAGGATAGATAGACAGACAGACAGACAGACAGACACAC